CTGCGGTGCAGTGCTTCGACGAGTCGTACATGTCCTTCGCGGACACTTTGATGCGGATCGGGGCCCACTCACTCCCCACGCCTTGTGCGGCGACGGTGTACGCCTGCATCTCACCCTGTCCTCTGCGCGGCACATCACGCACCACCACACTCGGCGGCGGCCACCTCCCCATCATCTCGTCAAACCCGCAGCGGTGCTTCCGGGCGGAATCGACGGCGAGGCACCCAGCGGCACAACACACCAACAGCAGCAAAAACACCGCCAGTGGGAAAAACGGCGTGCTGCAGCGTGGCCGGCACATCGCCTGAACAAACTGCCCGTGTTGCTTCCGTTTGAACATCAGCAGCGGCATTAGTAGCAGTACCAGTAGTAGTAGTAGTGGTGGCGCAGACCTTTACCGCGGGACAAAAAAACAAAAAAAGGAATACAACGATAGTCAACGCTGGCGCCCACAGTAGGGCACACCGCAAAAAAACAGCGACAATCCATAATAAACGCCGCACCGACAAACGCGTGGGCTGCACGATCACACTCGCTGCCGCCCAAAGAAACACCCACACGCACCCGCACGGAGCATCCGGAGTTTGTGACGCACCCGCATAAATCAAAAATAATAATAAACAAATTCATAACCACCTCGCTTACCGTCCCTCCCGCCCAGCCCCTTCAAACCCCGCCAGCAGCAACACGCAGTGCGCATGCCGGCGGGACCTCCCATCACGGCCCCCACAAACTCCCCAACGTCCCCACCTCCCTCAGCGCACTGCAGCAGGAGTGGGGTGCAACGTCAAAAATGAAATTGAAAAAAACAATAAAAACAATACAAAATAAACGGGGCACGCAGCACCACCACGACAAGACACACGCAGCAGATGCCTTCCTTCTGCGGCCACAAAAACAAACTCTCGCAGCGACACCGCCACCAACAAACCCAAACGCAATCGCCCGCATCCCAGCCGCACCGCGGTGCTCGTGGAAGTGAAGCACCTCAAAGAGTCTCAGGGGAAAACAAGAAACCGCTTCAACCACCACGCACGGCACGTACGCCTCCATACGACGTCGCCAACAGGCACTGACGCACCTTCCGGTGCCAAAAATACACCGTGTTATCCTCCTCTTTACGCTGAGCAGCACTCGGGGCGCGACGGCGTCACACACCCGCCACGTATGTTATTTGGCGCACTCGCAGCGTGCCGCACGTCAATAATTTCCCCCGCAACAACTCGTCAACGAAAGTTTCCCCATTTTATTAAATACACCTCGCCGTGCACTCACCGAACTCCCTCACTGTGCCGGCGCCGCCGCAACAACCTGCAGCCCAACCGCCCTCCACCGCCAACACCCACAGCACCCCGTACTTCCAACCCACATGCGCAGGGGCACTATTCCTTCTGCAGCAATACAGCAGACTCGGTGGGGTGCCCCATTTACGGTCTTGCGTGCAGCGCACACAACCGTCGCCGGTGCCAGCCTGCTGCAGACAGCCGCTTGTGTTGGGGCAGTGCCTTGCCGACAGAGAGATCCTGCCCGTATGATTGCGACCACAGGCCGCGTCGCTAGTTCCTTTGACAAACGGAAATCCCGCAGCTCCACCAATACGTGTATATATTATATATACACATCATACCCCCTCCCATGTTCGTTGCCGGCTGTTCTTTTATTTCATCTGCCAGTTTCTCACCCATCGGTGCGCCGAGAAACACACCTCGCCGCCACACCTCCCTCTCCCACCGAGGGGCCGTCCTCACCACTCCGTGAAATGCGCCCTCGCCGCGCCACGGCAGCATGTCCAATCCCAATGAAAAGAATAATTCCCAGCACCCGAAAAGGCGATCGACCCCACCGCACCCACCGCCGCAAGGAACCGACCAAAAGACTCACGGAAAACATCATGAAACCAGAAAAATAAAAAATTATAAAATAAAATAAGCCTCTGGATGAGGCCATATGGCTCCCACTCCTAAAAAGCGAAGGATACACAATGGGGGATCGCAGTTTGGCTCGGTGGGCCCCGCAACCACCCGGCTCCCTTCCGCATTGGAGGGTGTCATTATTACCATCAGTTGCAGTGGGTGTGTGTGGCGTGGAAGAACTGAAAATAAAAAATACTCGCGCTGCTCCCCAACGCGGCATCGCTGAAAGCTAAAAAACACGTCATCCGCAAAGCAAGCAGGGGAGCCACACAAAACCATCTGTCGTCTGATTAGCCTCAGCGGGTGGCACACTCACCCCACCGCCTTCTCTCAGCGAAGCACCCCGCCCCCGCTGCAAGGCACACGAGGAAGCTGCCACCCCACCCACTACACCAACCACAATAATAATACAACTCGCCTCTCCCCCACTCCCAGCCATGCCGCCGCCCTTCCTCCCCACAAAGAAAGAAACGCATTGAAACAATGTTTTGAAACGAC